GACTCTAAACAAAAAACAAAAACGAAAATGATTAATTATTTATCTCTCTCTCGTGTTTTTTTTTAGAAAATTTGTGAAAATAATCTACCTGTAAATATCTTTTCTTTCTTCTTCTTCTTCTATTCCCCATTCGATTTCGGTTATTATTTTACCGGTAGTTGCATTTCTTATAACGGTGTCGAGTCCTTTTAACATTGCATTTCCTTGACCCCAATAAGAAAAATATGTAGAATTATAAGCAAGGGCGGAATCGACATTCAACGGTCTCATTTCGGTATTTCGCAAAATAGAAAATGCGAGTAATTTTTTTTCTTTTTTAACTTTTCGGCGAAAAACCGTATATTTAACATTATTTAATTCGTAACGTACTGGTTCTGATTCAATGAGAAGTTGACCGATAATAATTTCTTTTTCTTGCTTGTCCTTAAAAAAAAAAAATATTTTTTTAAAATTTTGTTTATGTCTAATGAGTTTATCAAAATCATTTATCATTATTATTATTTTTATTTATTAATTATTAATAATAATTATATTTAAGCAGCCTATTAAAAGTGATCATGACAAACGTCGTACGTCATTTAAGAATATAATTAATAAACGTAAAAAAATAATAATAATGATAATGATAACAGAGTGACTTTAACTTACTTCTGTCAAAATAGTCATTTTTCCAAAGGAATCTTTTGAATTGAACTTTCCCACGTAATGACTGTAACCTTTAACACTTTTTATTGTTTCGTCCGTTTGACTAGACACATCGTTTTCATCAGGTTCTCCTAATTTTTTACGGGCTATATAAAAGTCGGTGCCACCGGCTACAATTCCAGTAGGGTAACTCTGATAAGTATCCCAATCTTTCCATATCAATCTTGATCCATTATCGACATTTTGAAGAACTTCGTAATTATTATAGGATTTAACAGAACCGAGCAAACTAATGTAACATGATTTTTCTTCTCTTAAAAGCTGACCCGGAATCCATTCCGCGTCGTGCATTGCTCGACATATGTAGACATTTTTATCTTCGATGCCCTGAGTTTCATCTTAAAATGAATTTTAAAAAAAAAAAATTGTTAATTTATACGAACAAGTCGTCATATTCTAGTCAATTTATGCGTCATGAAATCGAATCTTCGATATGGGGGTTGAAATATAATTTAATTTTATATAAAACGCGAGGATGGGTGTGTGTGTGTGTGTATATTTTAAAACATTTGAGAATCAATATAGTTAAGATAGTTTAAAAAGAAACAAAATGATTATACTTGAAAAAAAAAAGTAATTGCAGAAAATTAAATAATTTAAAGATAGAAAATGCATTTGGTTGACTTGTTGATAACACACACTAGGTCATGTACTTTTTTTCGTTAGACTCGTATAAAAAAAAAAAACTTACTCTGAGAATTTCTTGTCGCACCAATGACAGAATTTTTAGGAATTTTACCGTTCTCGGCTGAAATCCACTTTAAAGTGCTAGAAGTAACAAGTTGACCATAATTAAGAGTTGATAAAAATTGAACGCTGTGATCTGAAGCTGTTAAGTAAACTTCAGTCAATAACAACACAAATCCAAACCACTTTTGCATAATCTGTATAATAAAAATAAAACGTACATTTATTCCAATTTATTTATTTTTAAAAAATTACGCGTTTCTAGTAATATAAACAATACCGAAAACCTAATATGGGTTACTTGCATATATATATATATGTATTCTAGAAAAATCAAGGTTTGATTTTAATTATTTAATTTACATTTTATTAACTACACAAGCAAATCCTGTTTCTTTTTTTAAATTAAAATTCAATTATGATTGCGAAAATTTACATAATATTATTGAAAGAATTATACTTTTAATGTTACGAATATGATAAGTTTTGCCTTTTTTAAATTGAATAATGAATTTTTTTTTTTTTTATTTTGGTTGGCATCCTTTTACTACTCATTTAATGAAATAATAATAACTTTTTTTTTATCGCCGTTATGAAATTTATTGAGTTCGTTTTATGCTTTGCATGTTAATAATATACCCTCAACTTTATGTACATTGTTTTTATTTTTATTTATTGTGTTGTTGTTGTTGTTGTTACAAATATTGATGTAAATTTTAAAAAATTTATTCTTTCGTTTCTTGATTGAAAAAAAAAAAAAACCCCTTATGTGTTTTTCACATCATGGAAAAAAAAGTTAAAATTTGGTCATATTCAGTTGTAATCCGATTCTCGGATAATTTTTAAATATAAATCAATATAATGTGGAAATTATTAACAAAATAAAATATAGATTAATA